ATCTCGTCTTTATTTTTAGTTAGCACATACCTTAAACACTTAAAGCTGTAAGCTAATGATAGTTATATTAAGAGCAGATGCATGCTGGTGCAATAAGCTGTACCTTTTATGTCCAGTGGATGCTGATCTGATTAGTCGACTAATCGCAAAAATAATCTGTGACTAGTCGACTATCAAAATAATCGTTTGTGGCAGCCCTACTCTCGACAGAGACGACAGCATTCAGTCAGAATCTTGTACAGAGAAGTGAAACCCCACTACAGTTTCAAATAATACTGTTCCAAAGGACCATTTACATTTTAAATTACTGATAAATGCCTGTTTACTTTAATGTTGTTTTAATTAGATATATTTTTATCTAGTCACTTCTTTATTTTTTTGTTTTCGGTAATTTCAGGCCTTCATGTAAAAGCAGTGTCTGTCACCAGTTTGGTGCAAGAGTGACCAACCATAAGAACCTCAAGAGCTAAAATTAGGAAAAGTGACACCGGAGGGCATGGTTACCATGACAGCGAGCCAACCTGAGCCTGCCGCTGCCAAGATACAACAACAACAAGCTAAATCAAACTTTATGTCCAACTGCAACTACATCCGAATGCTCGAATGTGATTATGTATGTGACTTGGTTCGTTTTTCCCCCCCTCAAGATTTATTACATTTTTATGACGACGCATCTATAAGATGCGTCTGTTTTAATTTCAAATTCCATCTAGATATTTAATAGATTCATGCTTCCTGGAAACCTATGAATGCACTTGTCTTCATAAAATTAGCTCCAAGCACCACATGCGCCTTTCCCATATGTTGTCTCCATGGGCAACCAAGCAGTCAAGCTGTTGAAAATCCTGAGATTTCCTCCTCTTCGACTTCCTCTTTATCCACGGTGATGCAAGGAAAGGTATGTTTGGATTATGTGCCGTTCGACAAACACGGGCACCACATCTGTGTTTATATGAGGGGTGGCTGCGTGTATGCACATGCATGAACCGCCACGTGTGTAATCGCAGTTAATCAATAGAGGGCTGTATGCAGCAGCAAGCTTTCCCCCTCTGCCTTCTCGCCCATTCCAGTGGACCTGTTGAAGCTGGAAAACAGGGGGGCTGCTGTACGACTGGGTGGCTAGGTAAATGTGGCACTCATCTAATATGCACTGCTGATTTACCTGCCAAAAGACATCCTCATTAAAATTCAGATTAAATAAAGGCCAGTCTGGCCAGTGTGCCGTCATAAAACTATTTAATTATACCTTTTGGCTTTCGTCATAATCATAGGTGCAACAGCTAGCATGGCTTTCAAGAAAATATCATTAAATGCCCTAAGTAACGCTCATATATTTACAAATATCTCATTAAAATAAAATTATATTTCTTTGACTGGTCTATTCAGTCTATCATAGTCAATCATCTTATTATAAGCATAGAAAATAAAGATTGTTGGGTTTGTAGATTCCCTAATGGGATATGAGAAAAAACCTCTTGGCCAACAGTTCCTTTTTCAAAGAGAGTCCAAAGGGTCAGAAAAAAGCTACAAAGAGTCTACTCATGTTTTATCCCTCACTTCACAAGCTACATGTGCTTATAGTGACAGAATCAATAGTTCACTTCATGCTTCCACCTTACAAGCTTTAAAAATCACAAAAAACTAAGTGGACTGCCCATCGCCCTGTTGCCACTGGTCTATCACACAGATCCTGCATTTAATCATTTAGTGGTATAATAATGTAGCACAGCTGTGGCTGACTTAGTGCTCTGAATGACGACAATCCTGAACCAAAGAGGCCTAATGACGCTTCTAATGCAGATGCGGTCAGGTTGAACATGAGCTGGTCTTTAACATGCCAGCACTCCTGCGCAAGGTCCTGCGCCCATGTGTGAATAGCACAGTTAATACTCCAGTGAATTCCCAGTGAGCAGGTGGGC